TATCTTTGCATAAGTCCTTTGTTTCTCTGGTTATATTTATTCCAAGATATTTCATCCTTTGGGTGGCTATTGTGAATGGTATTGCTTTCCTAATGAAGGATGTTTGCTTTTGTAAAGGTTTGTCGTCGTTGTTGTTAAGTGTTGAGTCAGTTCCAACCCATAGTGACTCTGTATAGGGTTTCTGAGGAGCAGTTGTTAAGTTTGAGCCACAAACATATTGGATCAAACTAACTGCATCAGCCCACAGCACCACACCAGGACTCGTAAAAGTTTAGAGACTCAGAAATCCTTATACAGGGTCAATGAGAGTCAGAATCAACTTAATGGTAGTGGGTTCTTTTATATGGCAATTTGTCCGTCTTTTAAGTCATTAAAAATGTGTATTCATGGGCCAAGTGGTCAATGTGCTGTGTGACAAATTCCACAATGAGAAACTGAGCACTTGCTACAAGGGTGTGGTGTTCCAGTCAGCCTGAAACACCTCACAACAGTTGAGTTCCTTCTAAAACTATTACATGGGGCATGCAATTAAGAGCGCTGGCTAATGAAGCTTTTGAATAAGTGTAACAGTTATGGATTGGATTACATCCCTCCCCAAAACAACAGATATAGATGCCCCAACAGCTATACTGGTAAATGGGCTCATTAGGGAAAACAGTGCCTTTCTTTGGTGATCTCATTAGTTGACATGAGATCATAATGTAATAGGGTTAGTTTTAATCCAATATGAAAGGCATCCTTACAAAAAGAAGATGACAGACATGAGACAGAATCCTGTGAATGAAGATACATCTGCAAGCCACAAAATGCCTGGGGTTACAGAAACCTGAAAATGCCTGGGGTCACAGAAACCAGAAAAGAGGAAGAAGAGTCCTCACAGGAGCATGGACCTGTCACCATCCTGAACTGAGATAAAAAGTTTTTTATTATTTAAAACTGCCTACGTGTGGTTTCTTGTTTGGCAACCCCAGGACATGCAGACAGTGGAAGCCATGTGGCAGGATGTAGGACAAGATCTATATAGGGTTACAAGGTTTACTGGCTCTCATGGAAGTGCACACTGCTTCTCATGATCCATTTATTACCTGAACTTGCTTCGCATGAACTTCCCTCTCCTTCATTGCTACTGGTGACAGACGAAACCTTCTAGACTTCTGAGGAGCAGCCGCAGGATTAACAGGGAAAGTGTCAATTCTTTCTGGGCCTCCGTTTACAATCTCTTCAAAACCTGAGCCATCACCTAAAAACAAAGACCACAAAGTCAGGAACTAAACCAAGATTCCCTGACAGCCTTCATCAAGAATCTCTGCCAGAGTCTCCAAGACATACACCTACTGAGATCTGTCACTGTGGCGCTGCTGAAAGGATTTTCCTCATACCTTTCAGAACAGCAGACAAATCACAAATCAAAGAGGGCAATGTTGCTAAGTGCTGGTGAGTCGGTTCCAACTCATAGTGACCGACACTGCATATAGTTTTCAAGGAGCAGCTGGTGGGTTTGAACTGCTGACCTTGTGGTTTGCAGCCCAATACCACACCAGGAACGGGTAACAGTATTTTTTAAAAGCACTGTTTCAATGAGAATTGAACATAGTACATGGAGATGTGCGTTATCCCTGAACAACCAATACCATAACACAGAAATATAAGAACGTTACACATTTGCACAGATGCAACTCTTTACCCTCCAAATACCAGTACAGTACAGGTGGACTGATGCCAGGCAGCAGCTGCCTGAGCCTCGGTCACAGCATCCCGTAGGTGGGAGGACAGCAAATGAGCATATCTAACCAGAAGGTCAGGGTGCCTGATCTAGAGAGGGCCAGGGAGAAAAGTCCATAGCCAATATAGGACTCCTGAAAGGAACCTAGGATTTGGAAGCATTAACCACCTCTTGGGGAGGGGGGAGAATCTAAAAGAGATGAATTCCAAGTTTCTAAGAAGCCCATTCCTCCAAGCCTTCCCTCCCACTGATTTTCTACACATACTCAGAAATTTCTTTCTAGATGAGCAGAGTCAGAAAGACTGGCTGGGAGCATGAGGCTCAGTGACGGAGAGAGGTGAGTATTAGGAAAACAGGGCAAGACCTTCTAACTGCTTTTCCTGATCAGAAATCCATACACTGACAAACAGGCAGGCTTAATACCTGGCAGAAGAGGATACCTAAAGGAGCACATCAGATCAAGAAAGATCTGAAGTGCATGCTGATGGTGGGGCCCCTGGAGCTACCAGCGGCCCCTCATGGCACGAGCTGAGTCCCAAGATCATTCTTTAGTTCAGGCCCTCAGATTTGTGATAAAACAGACAAAGTAAAACAGGGAACATGAGGGAGAAATAAAGCAAATGCAGCAAACGGAAGAAAACTTCAAAACAAAACCCACTATTATTACTATCTTTAGAGAAGTAAGAAGAGGCATATTTTCCATGAAATAAGAACAGGAAGCTACAGATGTAATGGTCAGACAATAAGCGTGAAGTCTAAGAGATAAAAAGGATGACAGCAAAAATTAAATAATTTAGTACAAAGGTTAAGAAGTGAAGCTTCAAAAGTCTCTCAGAAATGAGGACAGATATAGAGAAAAGCAAAAAAATAATCAATATAGAGTCCAATATTTGGTTAGTGAGAATTAGAGAAGGAAAATTGTGGGAGAAACTGTGACAGGAAAATACAACAGAATACTCATGGCTGTGGGCCTGAAGAGCTATGAGTGGCGAATGGAGACTAGGGGCATGATTCACATGGAACATAAGTAGAAGCAAGAGGGCTGTACGCAGGTTGCAAAGGAGCTGGTTTCCAGCTCCAAATTCATTTACCAAAACAAAGCTACCAATACACATGGGAAAATGAAAAACAAATTGAAATATTAAAGTTCTCCCCCTAAACCTTCACTCATCTGTCAGGAAATAAAAGACAAAAATAGATGTTGAAGACACTCAAAAATGTGCTCTTGAATGTAGAAATGCTAAGGCAATGGGAAGTAAAAGAGCTTAATGGGAAATTCAAAGGGCAGCTTCAGAAGACAAAGTAAGGTATTATAATGAAATGTGCAAAGACCTGGAGTCAGAACACCAAAAGGAAAGAACAAGTTCAGCATTTCTCAAACTGGAAAAAAAACTGAAGAAAAAATTCAAGCCTCAACTGAAGGAGTCTATAGAGAAAACTACTGAATGAGACAGAAGTGTCAAAAGAAGATATGAGGACTACAGAAAGACACTGTACCAAAAAGAATTGGTGGCTGTACAACCATTTTAAGAGGTACTATATAATCAAAGATCAATGGTACTGTTCTAGAACCACAGTGGTGGTGGTGGTATGCCGTGAAGTCAGTTCCGACTCATAGTGACCCTGTATAGGGTTTCCGAGGCTGTAAATCTTTATGGGAGCAGAAAGCCTCATCTTTATCCCATGGAATGACTGGTAGTTTTGAAATGCTGACCTTGAGGCTAACAGTCCAACTTGTAACCACTACACTTCCGGAGCTCCTTTCTAGAACCATACAAACTACCAAAACTGATTCAAAAAGAAACAGAAAAACAAGTAAGGAGATTGGATTAGTAATAAAATCCTGCTAACAAAAAAAGGCCAGAACTAGATAGTTTTACTGGTTACTGGTGTTGTTATTAGGTGCCATCAAGTCGGTACCAACTCATAGCAAACCTATGCACAACAGAACGAAACAGGGCCTGATTCTGGGCCAACCTCACTACTGTTGTCACACTTGAGTCCATGGATGCTGTCACTTGGCGAATCCATCTCGTTGGGGGTCTTCCTCTTTTTCTCTGACCCTCCACCTTACCAAACATGATATCCTTCTCCAGCGACTGCACCCTCCTGACAATATGTCCGAAGTATGAGAGATAAAGTTTGGCCATCTTGGCCTCCAAGGAGCAATCTGGCTGCACTTCTTCCAAAACAGATCTATTGGTTCTTTTGGCAGCCCATGGCACTTTCAATATTCTCCAATACCATAACTCAAAAGCATGAATTCTTCTTCTAAAGATTTTTTTAAAGAATACTTGGCTGTCATGAATTGAATTGCATCCCAAAATATGTGTCAACTTAGCTGGACCATGATTCTCTGGTTTGGCAGTACTGTTATGATGTAATGTAGCAGTTATGTAAAGATTCTCAGATCAGATGTGATCTGATGTGACAAGCCTTTAACCCATCACAGCTCTGATCCAATGTAGAATCAAAGTAAATTTCCCTGGGGTGTGGACTGTAACATATTTTATTTTACAAGAGATTAAAGGATAGATAAATTAGTAGAGATTAAATGGACCCATTAACCACAAGAAAGAACAGCCAGGAGTGGAGTGCAGCCTTTGAAATTCCAAAACCCTGAGAAGGACTGATATCAAGACACACGGAGATCTCCAAGGCAAGGTGGGGCTACAGATGCTGAAAGGAAACAAGGACCTTTCCCCAGAGTCAACTAAGGACAGTCTTCTTCTAGTGCCAGCAATCCGAATTTGGACTTCTAGCCTCCCAAACTGTGAGATAATCAATTTCTGTTAAGGCCAAAAAAAAAAAAATAATAATAATCAGTGGCACTGAAGGAAGAATTTCAAGCATATTGAAGGCACTGGTTGGAAAAATGAGGTTCTAGGAATTGACAAAATATAAATTGAAATGTTTCATCAAATTGATGCAGCGCTGGAGGTGTAGCTCATCTGTGCCAAAAAACAAGGAAAACAGCTAGATGGACAAAAGATTTTCATTGTACTCATAAGTAGACTATACACAGAACAAGAGGCAGTCATTTGAACAGAACAAGGTGACAATGAATGGTTCAAAATCAGGTATGGCATGAGAGTTGTATCCTTCCACCATATTTATTCAATCTGTATGCAGGAGCAAATAATCTGAGAAGCTGGATTATATGAAGAACAATGTGGCATAAGGATTGGAGGAAGACTCATTAACAGCCTGCTATATGCAGATGACACACAGAGTCAAGAGGAGTGAACATATTAATGAGGATCAAAGACTACAGCCTTCAGTATGGAACACACCTCAATACAAAGAAAACACAAATCCTCACAAATGGACCAATGAAACATCATGATAAATGAAGAAAAGGTTAATGTTGTCAATGTCTTCATTTTGCTCACATATACAAATAATGCTCATAAATGTAGCAATCAAGAACCTAAATGATGCTTGGCACTGGGCAAATCCACTGCATAAGACCTCTTTAAAGTGTTGAAGAGCAAAGATGTCGCTCTGAGGGCTAAGGTGCTTCTAACCCAAGCCATGGTATTTTCAATAGCCTGAAAGACATGTGAGAGTTGGACGATGAATAAGGAACAGAGGAAGTCATAGAAGAATTGATGCATTTGAATTATGGTGTTGGGAAGGAATACTGAAGTACTATGAGCTGCTACAACAACAAACAAATCTGTCTTAGAAGAAGTACAGCTGTAATGCCCCTTAGAAGCAAGGATAGCAAGGCTTTGAACATTTATCAGGAAGGACCAGTCCCAGCAAAAGGATATCATGTTTGGAAAGATAGAGGATCACTGTAAAAGAGGAAGATCCTCAATGAGATAGACTGACCCAGTGGCAGCAACAATGGGCTCAAATATAACAATTGTGAAGATGGAACAGGATTGGATCGGGCAGTGTTCTGTTGTGCCTAGGGTTGTTATGAAGTTGAAACCAACTCAACAGCACATAACAACAACTCAAAAACTAACAATTTCCACAAGAGCTCCTTTTCTCCAAGTTACATTAAACAAAAGGATCCAATCCAGAAAAGCAAGGATGGCCATTCAGGAGCTAAAGGTGGTCAAGTGTGAAAGGGAACCTTCTAGAGGTTTCTGAGCAGTCAGGGAACATCCAAATTGGGTCCTAGGTAGGGAGGAAGGGTGATTGGTACAATGGAGAAAATACGGTCACAGATAAACAAGAAGTTGGCAAGAAAGTAAATGTAATCTGTGCATCTGCAAATCTGTGCTAGAACTACAACATATGAGCTTCATTAAAATGTAATTGCTCAAGAGTGATGTAACAGTTGATACAACTCTTAAAGGAAGATAATAAGAGGGAATGGTATTTGAGTTTACTGCTGTTGTCAAATACCATTGAGTTGGTTCCGATTCATAATAACCCTGTATAGGGTTTCTAAGGAGTGGCTGGTGGGTTTAAACCACCATCTTTACAGTTAACAGTGCAGTGCAGTGCTTATCCTACAGCGCCACACTGGGATTCCAAGTTTAAAACTGATATTTAAATAACAGATGTGTGTTACGCATGCTTCTAAAATGCTCTCAAACCATGTATGTGTAAGTCACTCATAAGGTGAATTTAGATAAAACAAATAGATGTGTGCTGTAAACAACGTTAAGTTAGCCTTGTACCACCATATAGTGATTAATAAAAAACTCGATGTAACTTAGCTAAATTTCCATAAGTTAGCCTTCAAGACATAAATTGTTAAATCCTCCCTAATTTTTGACTGTTCAGACAAGATCTAATCTTTGTTAGACATAACATCAATTGGTTCTTAGCATGGAAGTCCAAATAGAAAAATCACTTATGAGGGGGCATCAAAAAGTTCTTGGAAGTATAACCCATATCTTTTCATTCCATTTCCCATGAACTTTTTAAAGCCCCTTTATGCAAACCCTGGACTTCTGCTCATTCAACAAGAGACAACACAGGCAGAACATCTCTCTATACTGATTCTCAGATAACAGACTATGACAGCGATGAAAACTGAGATTGTGGCCACCCCCACCCCCACAGTCTTGTACTCTAGCTACAAGGGACCTCTGCTGAAAAGAACACATGGTCAAGCCTTCCTCACATGATCACTCAATAAAATACCTGAAGTCTAAAGATTTGAGTTCTAACCATTGGACAATTTTATACAGTCCTGATAGTCTGGTCATAAACGAATGTTATGTGGTCTTACCTGTGTTCTTTGTCAAGACTACTTTACAAAAAACGTAAATGATTTTATGCATGATAAGCTTGCACATTTCTGTATCTATTTGAAAATAAAAGCTCGCAGGACTATATGATTCTAAGATAAAGTAAACACTAGAAGAGATTCTGACAGTTGGAAATGAATGTCTCCAGGGAATGGTCATCAAATACATGGTATAGAATGAATACCACGACATCTGCAAGAGAATTTTGCAGAATCATTCAATTTCTCAAATTGCATTCTAATTAGTTGAAATTGCCATCAGGCAAATCTGCTGCAAGAGATCTCTTTAAAGTGTTAAAGAGCAAAGATGTCACTTTGAGGGCTAAAGTGTGCCTGACCCAGGTCATGGTATTTTCTATCTCCTCATATGCATGTGAAAGTTGGATAATGAGTAAAGAATATCGTAGAAGAATCAATGCATTAGAATTTTGGTGTTGGCAAAAAATATTGAAAGTATAATGGACTGCCAGAAGATTAAACAAAGCTGTCTTGGGAGAAGTATAGCCAGAATGTTCCTTAGAAGAAAGGATGGTGAGACTTTGTCTCTTACTTTGAACGTGTTATTAGGGGGGACCAGTCCCTGGAAAAGGTAATCACACTTGGTAAAGTGGAGAGCCAGCAAAAAAAGAGGAAGAACCCCAATGACATGGACTGATACACTGGCAGGAACAAGGGGCTCAACCATAACATCGTGAAATTGGTACAGGACCAGGCAATGTTTGGTTCTGTTGTGCAGGGGGTCACTAAGAGTTAAAACCAACTTGATGACACCTAACAACAATTATAGCCGGAGTATATAAAATTAAAATAAAATGCTTTCCTGCTCTATTCTGCAAATGCATGGTAAGATCCCCAATGGATTATATAGATTTCAGTGTGGTGTTTTCAAAAGCACTCACTGGACCAAAATCAAAATGCTTCAGAAAGTGAGGAAATTTGAAAAAAAAAAAAAAGCCAACAAGTAACTATAGAAAGAAAGATGAGATTAGAGAATCATCATTTGGCAGTCACTGTACGACAGACAACTGGTGGTGGTGTGGGTGAGTCATTAGGCTGTTGACCACCACAAAGTCGGCGGTTCAAACCTACCAGCTGTTCCATGGAAGAAGGATAATGTTGTCTGCTGCCACTTTATAGTTGCTGAAAACCTATATAGGGTTGCTTTGAGTCAGAATCAACGGGGTGGAAATGGGATGGATTTGGTTTTGGGGCAGGGCAATTGACTTAGCAAGATCACTAACAGACACTAAAAACAGACGCAAGCTGGAGAAGCAAGAGAATATTACAAGTTTCAAGTAGCCTCCCCACAGGGTACATAACAACTAAAAAGAAAACCTATCAATAAAAGACCTGGTAAACCCCATGTTGGCCAACTTAACTCCTATCCACATAAAAACAGAAATCAGGAGAGCTGTGGGCCAGTGCAGATGAAGGGTCATGCTACAAACTGACTACTGCCCTCTCCACAGACCATGCAGTTGCTCCAGACTGGAGGGAGGAGACTGATGGATTAGTCAGTGTAGAGGAGGGTAGAGCTGGACACAGCTAGACAAGACTGGGCAAAGCCAGGTGGGTCAAGGTTGGGGCAGGCAGAAGTGGACAGGGCAGTACGCAGCAATAGGTAGGAACCACCCCACCCACTAGTCTCCAAGTATAGCCCCATCCCTGCCCTCAGCCTTGGGCCATGAACTGCTTCCGCTTCCCTCATCTGCCAGTTAAAGAGCTGACCTCTGGACACAATGCATAATCTGGGAAGTTCTTTCTGTAAAGAACGCCACTGGTACAATTGGAAAAATCTGAGTAAGGTCAGGAAATGAGACACTAGCCCTATACCATTGCAAATTCCTTGGTCCTGAGCACTATGCTGTGACCTCAGTTTTAGGAAGTACATGTTTACAAGCTAAGTGGCACTGTGTCTACAATGGACACTCAAAAGGTTCACAGACAGTAAGACAGAGCATGAGAGCAAGAGAAGACAGAAAGAAAGAGAGTAAATATAAAAAGTTAACATTTGGAGAATCTAGGCGAAACACATGTAGGAATTCTTTGCAATATTCTGTACTCCAAAATTGTCAAAACACAAATTTCTCTCACAAAGACAATTGACTCACTTTTTTCACTTTCATCGCTTTTTCCTTCTAACCCAATAGGAGATGATCTTAAGTTTTCTTGAGAACCAAGAGACGTTATGAGAAAATCTTCGACGTCTTTTTCCTGTTCAAATAGGCAGACTTTTAAGTGGTTATAAAATAATAACATCACATCATGGAGCTAAAGTTGCCCAATGAAAACGGTCCTGAATTTATCATCTCCTCACACAGACCCCACAGGAAAAAATTCAGACTTGCAAGCATACTGAGGTCATGTGTTTCCAATAATATAATTATTTAGTTTACCCACAGTTCTTCACATGTATTTTAAAGTAGTCACTACCAAATATTTTAAATTAATAAATATTTACATAAATTGACAATCTATGGATACCTGAGATGACATGTACAATAAAAAACTAGTTTAGTTTTTTTTATTTTATCCAAGACCTTAAAATGTCAAGATAAGTAGGCTAGAAAATCGTGATATAACTCAGGAACAAATTAAAGTGCTTTTAAAATTAAATGGCAATATACATGAAACCTGATAAATATGAAACAGTACTAAACACAAATACAGCAGCATATTCTAGACCAAGAGTCCTTGTGCAGGTTATTATTTGGCCTTTATTGCTATGTGGAGTCAGCATTGGCACAGAAGCTAGGCCTGAGGTAAACTCAGTAGGCCCCATACACCTCACTCATTTCAGAAACTGCCTGAAATGACCTGTTCCAATTTCATAGCTTTGCTGCACACTTAACTTTCCTATATACAGTGCTGACTACAGGACCTGAACAAATCATCACTCTAGCAGTGATGAACCAACAATGCAGTGCTTGACCTGAGAAGGCTTCCCAGCAACACCCTGAGCTGCCACCCACAGCCCTGATGAGGCAAAGCAGGAATAGAAGTTCCTTACCACAGTTGTCCCCTCTACATGGTGGTGATCAGTGGACAGAGGTGTGTCTATAGCAAGGGGACACTCCGCCCAGGGTAGTGACTTCCCCTTGCCTGTGGGTACCGGGTAACAAAGGAGGTCAGAGTTGTCTGCCTGGAGTAATGTGGGGCCAGGGCTGCACAGACCTGTGGCATCTGAACAGGGTGTGAGGGGCAGGCTAGGTTGGGGCTCCAGATTTGAGTCCCTCCTGACGACTTCAGGTGAGCCCCAGGAGGACAGGTCCATTGTCTGCACTGGGCTCCTGAAGGGCTCCACACCTTCACAACTGCTTTGCAAGCCAGTTTTTAAGGAGAATGGTGAGTCTTGTGGTTCAATTTTTTCTTGAATGGGAACGTCTGATGTTCTGGTTGGTGTCAAAGCATCTGGATGTTCAGTAACTGCCATTAGATCCCAAGTGGTTCTGTGGGTATTAAACGTTGCAGCAGGAGTAGGTCTGTCAGTCGACTCATCACTGCGAGAAACATCATTTAAGTTCTTTTCTACAACAAGTGCAGAACACGCCAATGGTTGTGGGTTTGTCGAACCATCTGGGCCCATGTCCTGGGCAGTCATTGAATGGACCAGACAAGTCAATCTCTCCTGAACTTGTTTCACCTGAGTTAACAGGTCTACTTTCCGCAGAGGGCGACAATCTTCTGGTGTTTTTTCCTTACCCTGAAGGTTAAAAAGAACACACACATAATAAAAGAACTAACTGTAGCAGACCTCACTGTCTATGAGCGTTCACGATAAATAAGTCCCTCTAAACACTTAGTATTTCAAGTTTATTTGATTCCACAAATTAAATCTTAATTCCAAAATCTGAAATTCAATTCAATTCCAAAAGCTGAAAGCTCTTCACTTCAAAGGCAATTTTTCCTTTATACATTAACCTACTAAGAACACATATTCTTTTAGTGGGGGGAGAGGAGGGAGGAGACAGGAAAGGTCTCTTCTCAGAATGTTGAAGAAAATAAAAACCCCACAAAATCGTGACTTATGTAGCAAATGTGTAATTTCCTCTTCACTGTATAACTTCTAAGAACTTAGCAATAGCTCAAATTCTTTTAAGAACTAAACTTATGCTCCCAATCATGATAGGATGAAGACAAGTCTGCTGAACAGAATTTCTGAAATATTTTTCTCCATGTGGAATGCACCTCACAAAGGGATGAATAAACACATGGAGGTGGCATCTCCTTTCAAAGCTGCCAGCCCAACCACAGCCTCGCATGCTTGGGACCCAGACCTTTCAGACTTCAAACGATTTCCTGAGCTGCAGACCATGTGGTCAGCAGCACCCTGTGGTCTTCTTCTTCATGAAGCCCTCATGGTTGGACAGAGATGCTTAGGCTGGAAGGAGCCATGGCAATTTATAGCAGTCTGGCAGTATATTTGAGGAAACAAGTGAACCAGTCACTCTGAATTTCAGACCATGGACACAAGCTGTGGGGACAAACAGCAAGGGCAGACTCAGACTGCTGGGATGGGGGAAGGGAGCTTGCAGCCAAGAACACCTAGAGGGCAACAGCATACTCCAAAGACAGAGACATGCTGGCTTACTGGGAAGTGACTTGAAGGAGGGATACCCACAGGTAAGGGCTACCAGCACCTGCCACCATATCCACCTCATCTCACAGTCACAAACATGGTTTCCGCCCTGACACCACGGGTTAAACATCCTGACTCTACTCTTTCTTCTGGGAAAAGCCTAGGGTTCAAAAACAGTCCTGAAGTCTTTAGAAACAAACCAGATGCAGGCAATAGATTCCTTGAATCTATTGAATAAGACCACAGGAGGTTCTGTCCTCACAAGGAGAATCCAGGATGCACCCGGAAGAACAAGTATGTCCCATTCACAAGAAAACACCAATTAGCCATTCACTTTCTAAAAGCTGATTTAACTGTGGCAAATGTATGCTTCCTAGAGCATCTTAAATAACACGTGTAGATTTCAAACTGCATGTATAACATCACATGGTAGTCTAGAGGACACCTAACTCCATGTGCAGCCACACCTCCCACCACAGGGACGGACAAGCCCTGCTCTGCAAGCCCTTCTTGTGGCTGCACAAAGTACCTTGTTTTGTCGCAGCCGACTTTGGCTATCCTCTCTGCTCAGGTGCACCTTGTCCCTCACCAGGAAGAGCTCAGATACCAGCTGCTTCTGGCAGGCAGTCAGCACTGACATCACATTCTCCTGCCCCAGGAGACCTGTACCACCTGAAGCCTCACGGTCTGGAACTGGTTGCCGATGGTCCTTCACAGGGCTCTGTATTGATAGGGACAGCGAGAGCAGCACACATCAAAATTAGAGCTGAACCTGCCTGGGAGCTAACGTGCAGTAAGGCTGGGATGGGACTGTGGCCAGCTGGACTGCCTGCAGACCTCACTGCCTGTGTGTACCCTAAACTTTACAGTCTGCATGACCCACAAGTCAGAGGGGATGGCGGGAGATTCCCTAGCCCACAACACCCATTGAGACTCCAGACTACATTGCTCGTGGATCCCTTAAGGTCTGATTAGACAGCCACAAGTGCCTAAGACCACGGCATTTAAGGGACCCCAGACCATATCACTCACAGGAACCTGGTGGTCAGAGGGATGGTTGCAGCACTTCTGCACAGGCCACAGCCATCATGCCACCTTTGTCACAAATGAACATAGTTCTGAGCATTCAGCACCATCAATGGAGTATGGTCCAAACAGTAGCACCCAGAGCATGGGGGCCTCAAGGCCAACTAGAGCCCAAAACCCAGAAGCTCACAGAGACTTCTGTTCCAGAAGGAAATTCATCTGAGAGGTCTGATCTGGGGATGCACATAAAAAACTAAATCTAGGACTAAGAACCACAAGGAAGCAGAAAAACCTGGACCCGATGGAGCAGGGAAGGCTTAGCAGCACTGACACTTCCCACTGTCCAAAGGACAAGTCCTCATGAGCTGAAAGTACTCAGAGCAATGGCAGGTTTAGGCCCAGGACGACCGCTTCTGTACAGTCAGTTTCACACTAATCCCCCACTTTCTGGCGCTGGTAACTGTGATTCCTGGCACCAGCAAGGAAGAAGAAATGTTAACAAGTTTTTTATGTATAAGAGTAAGAAAAATCCAAACTTTCCTCATATAACTCTGCACCCCCGCCTCCCACTGAAACCCTGGAAGGAAGAAGCCTACCTGAGGGTCCTGGCCAAAGGGCACTGAGCACAGTGGTCTGCAGCTCTCGTCTTGATCTGAATCATCACCACGCACAGTCTCCAAGGCCACCGCCCCCCTGGGGGTCCTAAACTCAGCGCTGCCCTCCTCTTGGACCTGGTGATGGCCCAGCTCCCGCTGGCACCTCAGGAACCTCTGGCTCAGCGTTTGCAGCTGGCGTCCAAGACGTGCACACTGCACCCGCAGAACCTGCAGCTCTAGGGGCTCAGTTGCCTCTGCCCAGGGCTGCTGTTCCAGAGCACAATGGAACCCAGACACAACTGCCAGAACAGCCTCCAACTCGGCAAGGCGGGCTGCTCTCTGCTTGCTCAATGCATTGATTTCTACATCTTTCTTTGAAATCACTGCTTCCTTTTCTCTCAGGGTATTCTCGAACTCTGCCAAGCGGGAGGCCAGTGCCTCCAGTGAGGACTCCTTGAGGGCTATGCTTCGTCTCAGTCCAGCCAGCTGTAGGGCAGCAGCATCTTCAGCAGCCCGCAGGCTCTGCCCCAGTGCCTCCAGGGCCTGGTGGTGCCCGTGTTCCCGCTCCTCTAGCAGCTGGCTCAAGGCTGCCTTGCCTACTAGCGCTGCCTCCAGCTCTGCCTGCAGCACCCGTGCATGGGGGCCTGGCTCCTGTAGGTCTTCAACTGCCACCTCACGGTCACCCAGCAGCCCTCGTTCCAGCTCAGTCCGAAGGCTTTCAGCTGGACTATTACTGATTTCAAGGGCCACAGGTCCCCTGGGAGACAGCTCCATTTGCAGTTTTTCAATGACCTCATGGAGCTGTTCAATTTCCTCTGCCTTCTCCTTCTGTAATCGAACTTGGTTCTCCTGCAGGTTTTCAATAATGGATTTCAGCTCTTCCACTTCAGGACTTCTATTACTCAAAACCTGAGGAGAAAGCACATTTCATCATGAAAACACACTTGGAGTATTGTGAAGTGCTGTCGAGTATGTTCCGACTCATAGTGACCCTGTATAGGGTTTCCAAGGAGCAGCTTGTGTTTTTGAACCACTTACCTTGTAATTCACAGTCTAGTGCTGATCCTACAGCACCACACCAGGAGTAAAAGTGAAGGTATTTCTCAGCCCAGAGACATGGGCAGATGGTTCAAAGACCAAGGTGTATGGTCTGTGATGTTCTCAACAAATGGCCACTAGACACTTGAAACACACTCCAAATAGCTGTACTCTGACTAACATTCCATGCATAACAAACAGGTCAAAATGGCCATCTCTGGGGTCAAACATACCATGTTTCAAATCTTGTCACTGAGGAGTGGGCTCTGATGCCAACACAGACCCTAAAATGGTACTATTGCCTAAACTAATGAGGCAGGTCTGATCTATCACTTCACTGGCTCAACTGGCTACTCCTTAACTATATTTCCCTCATCTTCCTTAAAGAAGCATGTAGCTTTCAGTCTAACATGAATAAGCAGAAAGGTGAGAACGTAACATTCATCAGAATATGGCAATTGCAGCCTGTCCCAGCCAAAAGTACCTGATGCTGCAGGCAGGCCCAGCAACCCTCACAGGTGGCATTTCATCCTCAACAGTTTTAAGGTAACAAATATTATTGCTCTCATTTTAACACTGGGAAATTTGAAATTGAGAGACTAAATATCTTGTCAACACCAGAGATAGTAAGTGGAAAATCAGAACTGAAATCTGTGTCACTATGGTCTTAACCTCCATTCTCCTTAGCTCAAACCATAAGTAGAGATTGAAAAATAAAAAATTATAGCTGATTTGTTTTTCAGCTAACAATTTCCAACCCACACTTGTTGTAGTCTATTGTTTTCTGAAAATAGGGAAACAGAGATATCAATTTATAATGAAAACAACTACAAAGCAAAAAGAGGGAATAGTGTAGATACAAAACTTCCAAAAGACAAGGAAGTCTAGTAAATTTCAAGGTCAAGACTATTTTAAACTGGGGGGAAATTTAGTGAGTTACAGGGTAACCTCAAAGAACATTAATACATCTTCATATCAAAGTGAAAAAAAAAATTCAGTATACATATAACAATAGCAATAAAGAAAACGAGAAGAAAACTCACAAACAAAATGAATTCAGGGCAGAAAATTATGTGGCAAAAGAAACCAGCAGCACCACAAAAAAGCACACAGTAAAATGACAGCAAAAAATTCATACCTATTGATAATTACAATGAATCTAAATGGATAAATGCACCAGTTAAAAGACAAAGAGTAGCAGAATGGATAAGAGAATAGGATCCTAAAATACACCGTCTACAAGAGGTACATCAAAAAGATGGAGACAGCCTAAATGCCCATCAACAGAAGAATAGTTAAACTTTGGTGCATACATACAATGGAATACAACTCAATGTTGAAAAATAATGATGAGCCTGCAAAACAACCCACAACACAGATGAACCTGGAGGACATTAAGCTGAATGAAATTAGTCATTCACAAAAGGATACAAAAAAGACCCCTGTTGTAAAGTTAACAAAAGGTTGTCTTGATAAAAGGAACATTCTATGATGATTACATGGGAGGGGGATGAGAATTATTCATGATTTAGAGGGTTGTTAAGTGCCCTTGAGTCCATTCTGACCCATAGCGACCCTGTACAGGCTTTCTGAGGAGCACCTGGAAGATTTGAAGAGCCAAACTTGTGGTTCACAATCCAGGACTGATGCTACAACAACACACTAGGAATCCAAGGTAGAAGGTAGATGCATGTTAACATGGATGATGGGAAGTCAATATACAATAAGAGTAAGGTTGGCAGATGAAAGACGAAGGTAGCGGGAGACACAAGAATTAAAGTGAAGACAGGAATACGCTGTTAACTGATGGTACATGGAGGGGATTACAACTATGTGATTTGCTGAATGTAAAACTGATTATCTCCTCAAAAAACATTCACTCAATTCACAATAAAAGGTTTCAAAAACAAAGAGACAGAATAGTAGAATAGATAAGAAAACAGGATCCTGCAATATGCTATCTACAAGAGACATACCTAATAAACAAAGACCAAAAATAAATAAATATGAAAGGATAGAAAATAATATATATAAAGCAAATAAATGACAATAAAAAATGAGCAGAAGCACTTTGGAGAGAGGAGGAACACAGGGCTCATCTGATCAAGGGGCCCTAAAACAAGGAGTGACAAAGCTTGAGAAACCAGCAGCTTGGGTTCAGCTGCAATGGCCGCAGTAGCCGGGGTGAGGGGGCGCCAAGTGTACAGAATGTTGGGGGTGGGATCCTGGTCTTTGGCATCTTGACTCGGCCCTGTTTCCACAGCACACAGGTTTCTCTTGGCCTGTCAGAAATAGAAAGATCGTTGGATATTCAGTTTCAGGAATCTGATGGTGCTGATGAAGATTAAGGAAGAGATTCAGGTCCTCCAGCTAAGAAAATGCCATCGTCTCCTCAGAAAGCGAAAAATCAGAGGCAGTCTGGAAATAATTCACAGGAAGATAGTGAGGCCTCGGAAGAAGTTGTGAAGACCAATAAGGATGACTCTCACAGCAAAGCATAATGAAGATGAAAAAGATCACAAAAATGTATGCCAGCAATGGAAGGCAGCTTCCAAGCATAGAGATGCTCATGGAAGACACAGGCAATGAGAAAGAACAAGGTGAGGAATAACAAGGCGCTATTCCAAGAAAAAGAATCTGACAATGATGAAGAATTATGGAAGACGAAGACAACAGTGAGTATGGCAGTTCAAAAAAGAAAAACAAGAAGATGGTTAAAATATCCAAACCTGAGCCAAAAGAAAAGAAAATTCCTAAACCCAGGCTAAAGGCAACAATGGCACCAAGTCCAGTGAAAGGCAAAGGGAAAGTGGGTTGTCCCACAGCTTCCAAGGCATCAAAGGAAAACACATCTTCCCCAAAACACCTTCCACCAAAGAAAATAATGAGAAACTCTGGAAAGCCTTCCAGAAAAGAAAATATCTGCCAGCCAGTCACCAGAAAAATCTAGGTCTAAAGGATATGAAGTTGACAACCAGTCTAAGGATGATTAACAGTGATGTTTGGGAAGAGATTTTACTAAATAAGAAACAAACAAAAAGAGCCTACTTAAGATATAAAATTGTTGGCCATGGCTAGACTGATAGGTTTTGAATGCTTTGCTCCATTTGTTGAAGATAAACATTTTTTCTTTCATTTTTTAAAAAATGTCATTGTATGTGTAAGTTACTTTCTGGAAGTTGGTCCTCTCCTTGCTATCCACTCCCCCAGCCTACCCAGTCTCCAATGAAATCCATGTCAATTTAATCACTGCATTGAGTGCTTCTTTTTTTTTATTTTAATGGAAAATATATACCACAGTGGTAAAGCAATAAATTTTGCTTTCTGTTATAAAAATTCTGCTTTCTGCTGAACAATTAACAAATTGAATAGTAATCAAATAGTGCAAAGGTTTAAAATTACTGCATCTTTCCCTACCTGCACTTTAAAAAAAAAAAAAGTACGTTGTCCTCTAATATTAGCTTCAAGGACATTTTTTTAAAATGTTTTATTGTGAATTATATGATAGTTTACATGGGAGAACTTTAGCTTTACATTCATTCCATCGTATATCATCTCACTGCCATGGTTCCAATCCCCTCCACGCATCATCAACCACCCAAAGGGTATATACCAGAAATCCGCCCCTACACTTCTCCCTCCTCCCCCCAGTTTTCGGCCCACAGTCCCTTTCCCTCTCTGGGTTCAAAGTCCCCAGTCGCTTCATCACTCCATGGCATCAACTCTGTCTCCATCTCAGGCATCTCTGTTTCTCTGGGTAGGGTCTCGTTCTCGGCTCTTCTCCGTTGATGGTCCCAGAGGCCTCCGCTCCTATCCTGGTGAATTAATCACTCCCTTCCTTGTTACAAAACTTCCACCTTTGCATTTCCAACCCTCATAAACCATCCTGATAAGCATTATTCACTACAGTATCATGAGTTACCCATTCCGCCCAGACAGATTGAATAGTACCTACTGGAGTTTCTGCCTTCTGCCATGCTCCCTAGCACCAGGTTCCCTTTTGAAAGCTTGTAAGCCAGTCACTTCTTGCCTTTGTAGGCCCC